AATAAAAGCTTGGTTATTGGTTCCTCCTAATATGGAAACTCACTGTCACGGTTTTTAACCTTTTTGGCCATGAAATCCTTTCAGACTTTGATGAGAGCTAGGATGTGCTCCCAAGAAAAATGCATATACATTCCGAGTTGTGTGTGTAATTTCAGAGGGTCCTCGGAGGCCCTCATAATGCAGAGACCTCCAGGTCAGAAAACTCTTTTTTTATTGAAATGTTTGTAACACCTAATAAGGTCATATCAGAGATATTTTCTTCCTTGAGTGAAATTGCTCTATATTTACCAGTTTTGTTGTGAAACATCCAATTTGTGAGGTTCAGCCTAAAGTTTAGTTACGTAGGTCATATAACTCCACAGACAAGCAGACAGTACGTAAAGAGAAAGTGGCACCATTCCAAGAGTTCAAGTGTGCTAACACAAGTAGAACTGTTATTATCCTGGGAGGACATTTTAGCCTAGGTTCTCCAGTTATTCCAATGATAAATATTAGGAGATTCAACCACAAAAGAGGAAGGTAATTTACTATTTCTCTAAGGCCAACTTTCAAGGCTATACTGGAGAGAGATGGAGAAAGAGCATGTGCCTTCTCACACCAGTGTAACCTTGAAAATTTCAGTAGGTTCAGATGTTTAAAATACCTCCCAGCCCAGTTCTTCCCAGAGGTAATTCCCACAGATAGTGCCTTGTGTTATTAATGGAACATTTCTATGTGGACGTTGAACTTCAAATTTGGGGTTACTGCTGATTTTAGTGCTATACGTAACTGCGAAATTTGTTACTTTTTCTCTTGGAAAGATCTTTATCTGTCAACAATATCTGGTTTTAGGTTTTAAATTGTTATAAATGGTTAAAACAAGAGTGTGAGGGGAGTAAGGGTAGATAACATAAGTATACCTTAGTTAATCAGAGTAAAGGTAATCTCTACAGTAGATATGACAGAAAAATACTTTCTAGGTAAATAAGCAGGTGAACATGATTCCAGACAGAGTGGAATGTTTGCATGGCATCTATTTTTTGCTCTTTAGAAGGAATACAAATCACTTTTACCTTTTTACCGAAATGGAGTTTGGGATGGCTATAGTAATATGGTTCACATTATAATATATAGCTGCATATAAATGCAGAATTACAATATTAGACAGCTACTTTTATTATAGAAGAGGCATTCAACCACTAAGTCCAAAGTAGTAAACTGACTTGCCGAGACCATAAACAAATTCACACTAGCTTTTAGAATCTGGGTTCTAGAATCTTCGTCTTCTGTCTAAATGTATGGTTTTTTAACTTTTCACCAGTCATTTCAGAGATTTTTAACGAAAATACTGTTACCTGATTAAGTGGTAAATGCTATAAAACCGCTGAACAGAGCTTCTGAGCTAATAAACCACAGAAACCTAGTGATGTTCTATGATTGTGATCTTTCCAGAGAACCCTCAAGTCTATGACACCCAGTGCCATGTGGCTGAGGCTTCATTTGCAGTGACATATGCTGTCAGGCCCGTGTGCAGAAGCAAGTCAGGCAGGCCTGCTCCTGCGGTCATCTACTCTGCTTCCCACAGCATGGATGAACCTGGCTTGACCAATCTGTAATTCTGTGATTACAAACAAGATTCTAATTCTTCAGTTTATTTCCTTCTGTTGAATGACTGAATCTTCTCAGAGATCTGTGGTTGTTTTCTATTTGTTTACTAGAGAGCTGGGGAAAAGGAAGTTATCTAGGTATTTGAATTCTGAAAGGCTTAGTAGGACCTAAGTCAACTAGTTTAGGCACAGACAAGATGCTGTAATTGCATTTTGCAGGTGAGAACTACAAATGTCTGTGGGCAGGAAGGAAGCAGCTGTGTGCAACCAGGAGCATGGCAGACTGCCTCCCTATTCAGAATCCCTCCCCATACTTCACAACCCACCAGCCCCTAGCGCTGAGCTTAGCAGGGTTCTCCTGGAAGTCCTTCCCACTTACTGTACAGTGGACTTTTCACTGCCATACCTAGTTAGGTGCTAGAATTACAGCAGTTAAAAAACAGAATTTCCTAGCTGCATGGAGCTATGAGGGCAACCTGAGGACTTTAAGCAAAGGAGTACTAAAATGATGAAATTTGCAGTTTAGAAAGAATGCTCATATTCTTTATATATTCTTGCACTATTTCATTTGTTAAAGCATGTACCTGTTTTGCAATTTGAAAACTATTCAATAAAGAAAAGAGCTCCTGGTCGGAATGGAGAGGAGAGCTTGGGGGATAGGCAGCACTGCTGGCAGGGAGGGAGACTCCTTAGGAGACTGCTGCTATCAGTAACACAGGGGGGGGGGGAGTGAAAAGGGGATGAAAGAGATAACATCAAAGGGAAAAGAGTTGTAAAGAGATTCAAATGATATTCAGAAAGTAACATCAATAAGGGAAATTAACTGTAGCTTAGAAAGGGAAAGGCAAACAGGAGAACTTCCAAATATGGGACTTGGATAAATGTTCAAGAGGAATTCATAAACATAAAAAAGGGTGGGATACAAAGTTTTATATAGTATATGATGAATGCATACATTACATGTTTTACAAAAATATGCATAGGAAATTTGTCAAAATGTTAGAAGTGGTTTGACCTGCATGGCAGGTCAATCATTTTTTTTAAACTCATTCTTTTGTATGTCTTCCAAATTTATTAAGAATATACTTTTTTTGTACATTTTGTATATTTTGGAAGCTCATTCAATTCAAAAGGCAATTTACCTTTATTAATAAAAATTCTATGCTGGGGCCAGCTGAGTGGCGCGATGGTTAAGAACTGGCTTGGGACGCCAGAGGGCCCCGGTTCAGATACCACATATGAGGGCCAGTGACACTGCCCTCTACAGCTAAGATGCTGAACAACAGCTCAACCTGGAGCTGGGCTGCCGTGAGTCGCTGCGACGGCGTAGACTGCAGCCCCTGTGGCAGTGGGTTGCCATGGGCTACCGTGTGTAGCCAGCAGCCAGCATGAGCGGCCAGCAGCCGCAGTGAGTGGCCGTCCAGAAGCCGGCAACTGATCTGACTCACCCAGGAAGAGCGCAATGATGGTGCCAACTTTGGCCAGTGAAGCAATATCCTCCACAACTAGACTGAAGAACAAAACAACAGCAACTTGTCTGTTCCCCTTCCCCAATTCCCCAGAGCTGTTCCCATCCCCCCAATTCCCCAATAAAAATCTTAAAAAAAAAAAAAAATTCTATGCTGTAAGACTCCCTTGAGAAAAACTGATCACGTGGCAAACCATTCTATATTTCATAAATGTATTATACCATCCATAATAAATTCTCATGTCTTTGTGAGATCTATGAAATTATAGTGGTGAAGCAATCACCCTAGTTGTGGGTTTCTTGTTTTTGTTTTCTTTTTGTATTCTGGAAATTGACTAGCTGAAAGAGGTGAAAGAACTAAAAGCAGATAATCTCACTGACAGTCATCTGATTACTCAGATGTAGTCACTTATGAACTGCAAGCCCCCTGGCCTTGGGGCTTTTCCACATATATCTGCATGACTGACTCTCCCACCTCAAGTGTCATCTTCTCAATAACAACTACTATGTTTATCCTGATTATAACAGTAACATGTGCCTTTCACCGCCATCACCATGGGATTCCCAATCTTCTTTTACCTGCTGTGTTTCCAACATACTTATCGCCTAATTTATGACATAATTTATTACATTTATTGTGTGTCTCACCCCTAGAATATGGGTTTCTGAAGTCATATGTGGATTTTTACTGTTTTTGTTCCCAAATGTATCCCCATCACCAGAACGATTCTTGGCACATGGTGGATGCTCAATAAATATTTGCTGAATTCACACATGCATAAATGAATAAATGCATGAAATAAAAACATAAATTAAATGAATGACTATTAGGTTTAAAAGAAGCATAAATAATTACTTTACAAAAGAATATCAGTTATTAATACTTTTTACTTTAGAAGTCACTGGTTTTCTGCTTAAACATTTGTAGAGACTAATTTAGCCTATGGGGTTCAACCAAGTTCACTCTTTGCATATGTTTATTAAAGTTTCCCTCAGATTCAAAAAGGTGAGATGGAGTATATAAATCAAATAAGTTCTCTAACTGGTTATGTATAAAAATTAAACAGTATAAGTTTTACCAATAAATGATGCAATGAAGTTTTACATTGTGTAATCAGAGCTTCCAAACTTCCTCAGTTTAAAACGTTCCTTTACTATTGCGGACCACTGAGAAACTCTGGTTACAACTTCTCATTTAACCACGTTTGTTTGTTTTAATCCTTAGCAATTAATCACAAGAATGAGAGCAAATGGACAAGAAGACAAGGACACACATTCAACTTACTCTGATTTGAAGAGCAAACTGCTTTCACTTTACTATGTCTTTTGGTTATAGCACCATCTGGTGTTTACCATGCAGAAATACTATGAGGGCAGGTAATGCAAAAGTCCTTTGTCTTTTTAAAGACAAACTTTTTAAAAAAGGTTTAGGCAGCTGGACAACATGATATAAGTACATGACTAAGTGACAGATCACATGTTTAATTTGGAAATATAGAAGTAAATATTGAGAAATCAATGTGGTATTAGAAGAATAAACCATTTAAATAACTTTTAAATACGAATACTCTTCAAGAAAAAAGGACAATGGCAAAACAAATTAGTTATTAAAGGAAGAAACATTTGAAAAACATTCTAGAACTTTGTTAACAAACCATTTAAAATGCAAAATTTGATAAAAAGTAAATTATCAAATAAAAAGTTTATATTCGAATACCCAGAAGATGTAGTTATAAGGCTTCTTCATAATACGGCCTCAACCCTTAATCCCTACAGATAGCATTATAACAAGGCCCCAGTGTATTAACAACTGCTAGTTTATCACATACATTTTATTATACTAGAGCGTGACTATTTTAGCTAATTCAGTATTTTGTAACTTAGGTAAATTTCTTTATTAGCTAATGCTGCTGCCTCTATGTTTACAATGACACAACAATACTTACACCAATATAGGCTTTCCTGATATCCTAGGATGTCTTAACACTTCTGACATTGTCTCTTTCGTCTCTTCCATTCTCTCTTCATCACTGGAATCCACAACAAATATTACCCCATAGGACTCAGCATAGTAATTCTTCCAGATTCCCCGAATTCTTTTTCCACCTCCCAAGTCAAAGATGGTGACTTCAAACTTTCCTTGTCTAAGGTCAATTTTGGAAAATCCAACAGTAGGAGCTACATCTTCAGGATACTCTATTTCAAATGATATAAAAGAAACAATCTTTAGACATTAAATTAGTAATAATTTAACTTCACAACTTAAATGACATGAAAAGTATCATACCTTAATGCTAAATGTAATGTTTATTTTCTTACACAATAAGCATTACATTTAAGCAGAGAAGATACTATAAAATATCAAACCACAATTTACACTCCATGCAGATAGGAATTTCTATTTTTATTGATATAACCCCAGCTCCTAGAATAATGCCTACCATACCACAGGTATTTAATAAGTATCTGTAGAATGAATAAGTAAATGAACTTTTGCCTTTAAGGCTATTGACTCCCCAAGTTACAAACAAAATTTCAACCCTTCAACAACACTACAGACATCCCCAGGGACCATTACAACCTCTGGGGAGTTATAAAGAAAATCTGAACATTTAAAGAACAGCTTAAAAGAACCGATAAATGGGAAAAGCTATGAAGAGTAGAACCACTCCTTTTTAATTAACTGAATTCAAGCTATAATTGGAATAAAGAGACTAGTGAGCGCAACTTATAAATATAAAGAGTAGATTTCATTATTTCTACATGAACATGTTTTGGATGTTCTTCAAAATTTATAATTTTTTTTTTACTCCTGTATATGATAACACAAAGAAGGTACAGGATGTATATGACTGTAACTGCCAAAGAGTGGTAATGACAATAATAAATTTTAAAAGATCACTAAGGTTCAAGAAAGACTTGAACTAGAAGCTGGGATTTAGGCCTCAAAACTAGATTAGAGTTAGACAAAAGAGTGATCTAAATAACAGAAATGGCACAGGCAAAAGTACGAACAAGTTCAACACTGTGCTTGGGGCAAACGCTTAAGACTGTGAAAGCAAGCTGAAGAGGGCTCTGAAGGTACAGAATTGGGAGCCAGTCCTTTACGAAGGATTTCAAAAAGGAGACTATATAACAAAAATACATCTTTAGAGATAAGATTCTATCTTTAATGATAATTAGATATTCTCTCTAGTAAAACAAGTGGGAACAGCATAAACAAAAATACAAATACATAAAAAGGCTCAGTTTAGAAAACTTCAAGTAGTTCTATCTAACTAGAATCTTTAGAAAAAGGGTAAGAAATCAGTCACTGGAGTAAGCTGAAGAGTAAATATGAGATGAAGAGCCAAAAAAGCAGAGCCAGAGGGGAGCACAAAGTTGAAGGCAGCTTTGACTATTTGTTCATGATGTGACACCTTGAGCATTTTCTAAACTCAGGTAAAGAAACTGATGGATATATGGAGTGGAATTCAGAAGAGGAAGGGCCTAATGGAAAGAGGATATTCTAAATACACACACAACAAATGAGAAGTCTGATTAGCAGGTTCTTAGGTTTCTGCTCCCTTGAATACAAGGCTCTCAAGTAATGGAAGAAGGAAAGGTATTTAGATAAGGAGTCATGGCCTGCAGACCAAATCTGGCTTGCCACCTGTTTTTATACAGCCTTAAGGCTACTAATAATGTGTTGTACATTTTTAAATAACTGCAAATAAATCAAAATAATAATATTTTATAACACATCAAATGTTAGTGTCCATAAATAAAGTTTCATTGGAAGATGACCATGCTCCTTTGTTTACACAGTCTATGGCTGCTTTGTACTACTCTATGTATGTCAGTCACATATGCATAGTTGGGAAAGCGAGCATATGACTCTCAAAGACTTAAGTATTTACTAGCTGGCTCTGTACAGAAGTTTGCCAACACTGGTTTAGTTGATGACAGTGAGTGCTCTGCAAGGATATAATCTAGGAGATAGCATAAGGGGTACCAAAAAGGCTTTAGATGAATCCACAGACAATAATACATCATTTACATCTAACGTTGCATAGTAAAATTTGGAGTGACAAAATGCTTTCTGGGCCAGCCGAGTGGCGCGTTGGTTAGGAGTTGGCTTGGCATACCAGCTCTGAGCTGCAGGGCCCCTGTTCGGAACCCACTAGAGGGCCAGTGATGTTGCGCCCTCTACAGCTAAGATGGTGATCAACAGCTCGACCTGGAGCTGGGCTGCTGTTAGTCACCAGCTACGGTGTAGGCTGCAGCAGGGCTGGCCGGCAGCTGGCGTGAGCTTTTCTAAGCTGCTGTGAGCCGCCACCGTGAGCGGCAGTCCAATGGCTGGCGAGCGCCTGCCTCACCTGGGAAGAGCACATTGATAATACCAACATGGGCCAGTGAGGCGATGTCCTCTACAACTAGACTGAAGAATCAAAGGACAGCAACTTGTCTGTTCCTCTTCCACAATTCCCCAACGCTGTTCCCCTTCCCCAATTCCTCAATAAAATCTTTTTTAAAAAAATGTTTTTCTCCAACAGCAAGTTTCATTAGGTGTTAATTTTCTTTCATAAACTTCCATAAATTAAAGCCCCCTGACTATCTGCATGCATGGTATCTTGTTACAACATCCATTTTTCAGAAACAAATATATGTCAGGTTTCTTCCCTATACACACCTTAAGATGCTTGCCTGGTGCAACATCTTCGGGGTATACAAAAAAGTCACTACCACAGTTACTTCTACATTGTAATATAAAACATTAAGACTAAATAAAATCATCCAATGAGTTGTCATATAAATGACATAAAAACACTTCAATGATACAGAGGCCCTATCTTTATTCCAAAAATTACTTATATTGAAAAAAAAATCAAGCGATCCAGAGATAGCTGTGCTGGCTTTCTGTATTTCCACCTCCCTTTCATTTAGGTATAGCCTTGTGACTAAATTCTGGCTAAGAAAATGTGTTGCTTGAAGCTAATTTCTATTAACATGCCCCCCCGCATTTAGCCTCTTTTCCCATTAGAGATGAGAGAAGCCCCGGTATGACCGGAAAGGCT